AGGATTGGGATTGGGGGGGAGGGGAGAAGGCTGGGAAGGGATGTGAAGGGTAAACAAAGGAGGAGGCTGCAATGTTTGGTAAGAAATGTACGCATTATCCTGCCCATGTAATTGTAACCCCTCTGTAAAGTATGTTCACAAATAAAATAAAATAAAATTAAAAAAAACAACTTTTGTTTCATGATGTAAACTTGCAATTTTGAAAATCCCACAAAATTGAGCCTGACTTGCTGGGCTGAAGAGCTTCAAGTTGGCAGCCCAAATGATGTGAATTGGGCCAGGCAGCCCTGAAAATGGCTCCTGCAGAGGACATTGTGGTGGTTATTCTTCCGGTCTCCTCCCAGAGAGCCAGTCTCTACCATACTCTCCCACCAGCATTCCATGGTCAGTTTTGATAGCGTTTGACTATATAGATTATCTGTTTAACTGTAATTATCTCCTTGTATATTTTTCCAACACACTGATCTCTGCAGAACTTGTTCATGTTTATAGCTCTAATGCCTATAAGTACTGGTCATAAAACAAGTATTTATTACCATTTCATTTTATAATGAATGAATGCTGCTCATTGATGAGTCGGGGTAATTAGCTCTTACTTTTTACTGTGACTTTAATAAGACTGTAATTTCCATAAATTGTGTGGTTTGGAGGAGAGACCTGAATTAGAATTAAGAAAACAAAACTCTGATCTAGGTCAGTCACTTCTCTGTGTTTTGGTTTCCTTATATGTCAGGTAGAATACTTTTACTGTACCTATCTAACCAGATTGTAGAAGTTTATAAACTGAAAGATTATCAAAAACTAGACTGCTGCTTTGGAGAATAAGCAGATTTCATCATAACTGTTGTACCTTGATAACTGTTACCTTGTTTTACAAAATTTCTGTGATAGTTGAAAATTTATGAGGAAAGATATGTAGCCATTATAAGCCAGTCATGGTACTAACTGTATAAGTACAGTTACCATCCTGTAGTATCTAGAGGACTGGCTCCAGGACTTCCACCAAGGGTATCAAATTCCATGGATGTTTAAGTTCTTTAGATAAAATTGCATCGTATTTTATATAGTCTACATATATTTTCTTATATATTTTAAATCATTTCTAGGCTAAGTGTAAATTTTGTGTGAATGATTGCTTTACTCTGTTGTGTAAAGAATAATGACAAGGAAAATGTGTACCAAAAAACCCCCATATTTTTTATATGTGGTTGTATCACTTATACTATAGACATTTAGACAATCCACAAGTATAGAACCCTTCGGTATGGGGGGCTGACTATATTTGAAAATCAATAAGTGTAATTTAATGCTAACTTTTTGCCTGTGCTGATCTTGAAATGTGATACTCTTGATCTCTGCCTTGCAAGTAGTTGAATTTATAGAAGTGAGCCACCACACCAGGCCCTAAAAATCTTATTTTAGAATATTATAATTTAATTCTTATTCCAGGATTTTCTATACATTACTGCCTGTATTACTTTCTACAGCTCAAATTGCAGAGGCATTTTTATTGTTTTCTAAGTTTAGGCAGAATTATTTGTATTATTATTTAAATATTTTCTGCTCTTGGATTTTCTTAGTATTTTTCTTTTACCATGTCATGTGTTTTGTTAAGCTCAGTTAGGCAAAAAAGTCTGGTATGGTCATGGAAGGAGTCATCTTTGTGTTTTATAAGCTATAAAATCAGTCATCTTTTACTAATTGGTAACATCTAGGGTTTGCCTTTGGGCAAATTACTTAACTTCTTTATGACTTACTTTCTGTATCTGTGAGATTGAGTTGTTGGTATAATTAAACTATGGAGGGATTGTTGATCTAATTAAATGAAATAAACATCAACAAATAGCTTAGAATAGTTTCTTGCACATAATAAAATATTCAAAGTTAGCATAACTTGTTATTATGGGTGATGATAATGGCAATGCATGGATAGTTATTTTTCAGCCTTTCTACATGTGATCTATTTAAAACTTTTAGCTTTGTGATAGCACAAAGACTGCTTTTTTCAACCTAAAAAATTTCTGCTTTTCTTAATTTATTCATGGCAATTTGATGGATTGTTTTTCTAAACCTAGATTTAATTTTAGTGATGACAGTAATTTATAAACAATTGTGGAGTGCAGAATTGGACAAAAGCAATAAAATAATACCTAAAGTCTTTTTAAGTAATACAAGAAATATGTCAGAGCTCCAGTTTTACTCATGGGAAAGTATTAGTTTAGTATAAAGTCAGACCCTTAGAAATCAGTCTATTCATTAGCTATTATATTCTCTCTTACTATTAAATTTTTACTTTTCATATAAATATCACAAAATGATATTTATACAACATCTTTCCCCTTCTTCACTCAAGAAATGTAGAAGATAAGTCACTTACATAGTGCTTTTTGTGTGTGTGCTAGTATGGTACTTGAACTCAAGGTCTGGACACTGACCCTTTCGCTTTTTTGCTCAAAATTGATACTCTACTACTTGGGCCACAACTCCACTTTGAGCTTTTTTGGTGGTTAATTGTGTGTTAAGAGTCTCATGGACTTCCCTGCCCTGGCTGACTTTGAGCCATAATCCTCAGATCTCAGCCTCCTGAGTAGCTAGGAGGATCTGAGGATCGTGCAGGCAGGAAAGTCCTTAAGACTCTTATCTCCAATAAACCACTCAGAAAACCAGAAGTGGCACTAGTGGCTCAAGTGGTAGAATGCTAGCCTTGAGCTGAAGAGCTGAGGGACAGCGCCCAGGCCCAGAGTTCAAGCCACACAACTGCAAAAAACAAAAAAATCAAAACCTGCAAAAATAGTAAGCATTCAATCTCAAGCCTTTCAAGTAAAGGGTATTCAACCTGTACTTTGATGATTAAGGTCATTATGTACTGATTCATAATTTACTTCTTAAGGTCTTATGCCAGCACTGTTCACTATGAATCATTTCCTTATTGGGTCATCTATTTGAACTTTTGTTAGTGACAGAAATTGAGGTCACATTGTAGTGATCTCAATAGATTTTGATGCACTTTGAGTAATTAAGGAAGAATTTAATTGAGAAGTGGATTGGGGAATTGATGATACTGTTGACTTAGGCTGAATTTCATTTGAAACTGGTATTTTTTCTTGATGGAAAAATTCAGTGTCATTTAAGAAAAGGACAAGGATTTTCTGAAGAAATACCAAGAATTGAGAAGAGAGAGGAGGGATGGAAGTAGAGTAGCGTGTGTACATGTGTATGTTTGTATGAGAGAGAGAGAGACAGAATGACAGACAGGCTGACTGACAACATGGAGGAACCAAAGACAAGTCTGCCACTGGATAGATGGAATCTTTCTATTCCAGAGGTCCTAGGAGAAGAGGGTGGAAAAGAGGACTTGCTACACTGCATGAAGACACTTTTGGCACAAGGCATCCTTTCTTCTATCTGGAGTGCCTTCTAGGTGTCTGAGGGGTAAAGGAAGAAAATATATCACAGTGGAGTATATAAATAAAAGAGTTTCACAACTCTTCAAGCCATTAACTGCCTTTTCCGTTTAAAGGGACACTGCCATAAGAGAATTAATGTATTAGTATACTGAGCATTATTGGTGTGTTTTCTTCTCTCCTTTTGTATCTCCCTTTTAGAGTCAGAAGAAGAGACAGTCTAAATATATTAAAAATAAATATAATTAAAATATCAGTTGTCATGGATTCTTTGAAAATAAGACTAACAAATACTAATTGAGCCAACTAAAGTAACTCATCTAAGTTGTTATCCATTTGTGACATCCAATTTCTCTGTCTTTTCACCAGTTTCATAGAAGAATTTACAAAGGAATCCCTCTCCAGCTCCGAGGTGAAGTCTGGGCTCTCCTTCTTGAGATCCCCAAAATGAAAGAAGAAACAAGAGACCTTTATAGTGTGAGTGGCTAAACAGAACTGTTAGTTTGAAATAAAAAAGCAAAACAATTAGCTTCCAAGGTGATGTAAGATACTCACATCATAACTTGAAATGATATCACCATTTTATTAGGTTAAGTTTATGAAGCACATTTATTTTAGTGCTGGAGTCTACTTATTTTTTTTTATTATTGTGAAAATACAGAGGGGTTACAATTACATGGGCAAGATAATGAGTACATTTCTTATCAAGCATTGTAGCCTCCTCCTTTGTTTACCCTTCCCATCCCATCCTCCCTCGGCCCCCCCCTCAACACTCCTCCCCCCCACACCAAAGTTGTAAAGTTCGTTTTCGACATAACAACTTGTACGTCTCATTGTTGCAATGGGTCTACCTGCATCCCTATTTAAACGATTTGTTTTTTCCCTTCCCCTCCACAAATTATAACAACATCAAATACAGTATGGAGTCTACTTATATTTCAAATCATAGTTAATGTTGTCTGCCAACTCAGTGAATATTAAATGCTTTTCAAACAGATCAATCTAAGTTCTTAAAATGAACTATCAATATTGGGGCATATTTGAATGATGATTATATTACTAATAAAGAGATTTATAGTATCATTTTTACAGTGTCTGGTGGGGGAGGGATGTTGTTTCTAATAAGATGGAAAAGGAAGGATGAGCTTTCAAGGTAAATTGCAGATACCTTTTCTAATCCTCTCCCTTCAAGTTGGTTATGTTTATTTTTGACTTAAAGCTTTATATTACTGTATTTTAAGATTACCATACCTTTATTGTGATTATTGTTATTGGTTGTGGTGTTTTTATTTATGCTTTTGGGGTTTTTTTTTAAAGATGGGCAAAAAGGGGACGCAGAAGGAAAGAGGGGAAGGGTGAACAATGAAATCATGCTACTCAGTATGCATTATGTGGAAATGAACTATTGTAGCCTATGGACAGGAATGGGAGTGGGTGACTCTGGGGGTAACATTGTCCAAAAAACATGTACTTATTACCTGACTTATGCAATGGCAATACCTCTGCACAATACCTTAATAATAACACTATAATTATATTTTAAGAAATCACCATCCCTACTTTATTTTTAAAATTTTTTATTGTGATTGAGTGATTACATTTCACAAATTTCATAATATTGTGAGATAGTGATACTTAGTTAAAGTCACAAACACATTCTAACCTTCATGAGGCAAATTGTCATTATCATGGTCTATAAAGTTTGTGAATTCTATGAGCTTTGACAATACAGCTGTTTCTTCCACATCCAGTGATATGTACATTTCTTTCCTTTTGTATACTGTTAGCTGTTCCTTCTAACCCTCTCATTCTTTCCCTCCCATTGCTGCCCTTGAGTTGCTTAGTTTGTTTTGATCTATGTCCAGTGCAGCTGATGGGTCCCGCTGTTGTATGTTTTCCTCTGTTTCTGTGTCCTCTTACTAGTTTCCTCCAATGTGCATATATATATCATATATGTGGTCATCAGCATAGGGTCATTTAATAATGATATTACAAGATGAGTGAAGATCCTTTGTTTTCAAATCTTGTTTATTTTCTTGTATCTCCTTACATTTTGGATTTAACATGCACATATCAGGGAGACCATGTTCTGTTTGTCTCTTTGCTGTTTGTCTCTGGCTTACCTCACTCAAAATGATTTTTTCTATTTTCATCCATTTCCCCACTAGTGCCATTATTTTGTCCTTTCTAATGGCTGCATAACATTCTATTGTATATAGATACCACAATTTTTGGATCCATTCATCTGTAGTGGGGCATCTGTGTTGTTTCCATAGCTTGGCTATTGTGAACAGTGCTGCAGTGAACATGGAGGTGCATGTGTCCTTGTATCCTGGTTCCTGTTGCTCAGGATAGATGCCTAGGAATGGTATGATGTAGAGTTTTCTGAGGAACCTCCAGACTGCTTTCCAAAGTGGTTGTATTAGTGTACATTCCCACCAGCAGTGCAATAGGATTCCTCTTTGAGGGGAGAGTATTTTATATACTAGTATTATCTAAATATGAAGTACTTCATTTACTTTTTGCAATAATACCAAGAGGTAAGTTTTACTATTGTCATTGCAGATGAGAAAACTGAGATTAGTGAGGCTAAGGAGCTTTATACAAGCTTTATACAAACTTAGGGTTAGCAAGGGCACAGATAGGATTTAAAATCCTAACTGTCCCAGCTCCTGAGCCAGTGTTCTTTTCTACTGCTTTTTGCTATTCTTGTAATTGTTGCTCATTTGTATCTGTCTTAGATACAATGATGGTAGAGAGAGGGTCAGAGTCAATCCATTGTGTATAACAAACTCCTCTTCAGCCTTAGCTGGGCTTAGTCATCTGGCAGATAAACCTGCAGAGATAGTCCTCTAATTTTTTTTCATGAAACACCTTCCACTATATTTCTGACTTAGGTTAATGGGTTTATTAGATCTTCTTTTAGACAAAATTGTTATTCTTATAATGTGATACTCATGAATCTCAACCTACTTAGTCTCTGGAATAACTGTAGAAACTTTACCTTCTTTCCTTCAGGAGTTAAGAAATATACTTGATCTACTGTGTCCTGCGCATTAACTTGACAACAGTTTAGGACATAAGTAACATTTCTGACCTATTATTTTTTTACCTGTTTAACTGGGCTTGTTTCATTCATGAAAAGAGAGAGAGAGAGAGAGAGAGAGAGTGTGTGTGTATGCACACACATGCGCTGGATTTACTTGTCCTCCAAAGAAGATAACATTGTAACATTGTAGATACGTTTAGATCATATTCTCCCAACTAAATTTTATTTTAAAGCAATTTTTACCATATCAAAATTTTCTTCCAGTGTTTTGACATTTCATCTTCTTCCAGAAGGCCAGTAGAAAAATAACAGACCTGTACTTGCTCATTATCTTTTAAAAAGATAGTAAAAGAGCACATATGTACAGATTATTCTTAAAGCTGACTTTTTTATATTGCCTTCTGTACCAACATAAAAATTGTTATTATAAAGGTGATATACAGAGGGTTACAGTTATATAAGTTAGGTAAAGAGTACAGTTGTTTTTGGACAATATCACCTACTCCCTTGCTGTCTCCGAGGTTTTTTTCTTTTTTTGTTTTCAAGGGTGTGGGTCTTTAACTCTGGGGCCTGGGTGCTGTCCCTGAGATCTTTTGCTCAAGGCAAGTGCTCTACCACTTTGAGCCACAGCTCTCCTTCCACTTTTTGAGTGGTTAATTGGTGATATGAGTCTCACAGGGACTTCTCTGCCTGGGCTGGCTTTGAACTTTGATCCTCAGAGTTCAGCCTCCTGAATAGCTAGGATTATTACAGGCATGAGCTACTGGACCCTACCGGACCCTACAATCTCTCCCACTGTTTCCCTCTCATCCCGACCCACAGGTTAAATAGTTCATTTTCAACATAGTATCTAGTAACACTGCTGTATTTGTTCACCCTTTCTCCCTCCATTTTGGTGCCTTCCTTGCCCTCCCAAAGACAAATTAACAAGACAATAACCAAAACTGCAACAAAGAAAAAAAACATGTTTCTGTTAATTGAAGTGCATTTTGATAAATACCATTTCATATGATCAGATGCACATAGGCATTGCGCCTTTGTGTTCTTTTACTAAGAGTATCCTCTAACTCTGTGTGTGTGTGTGTGTGTGTGTGTGTGTGTGAGAGAGAGAGAGAGAGAGAGAGAGAGAGAGAATGCCTAGAACTCCTGTATAATTTATCATGTCCCAGTGTATTTTGGTTCTAGCTTCTGCATATGAAAGGAAACATTTGCCGTTTGTTCCTCTAATTTGGCTAACCTCACTTAACATGATTTGTTGTAGGTTCATTCATTTCTCTGTAAATAACAATATTATTTTTTCTAATGGCTGTTAACTTCCATTGTGTATAGGTACCACATTTTTTGATCCACTTATCTATTGTGGGGCATCTGGACTGTTTGCATAGTTTGGCTATTGTTTCTCCACCAATTTCTATCACGTATACAGTGCAATAATATTTTGTGACTATATGATTCTCTACTACAGAACCATACCTCTAGCCTACTCTCTGTACCATAGAAGGTGCCCTGTGATTTCTCACTTCAAAACAAAAAAAAATGCATACTTATAAGACACAACATACACACACATATATATATATATATATATATATATATATATACTAGACATAACCTGTTTTAATTTGTCAGGAATTAAGAGTTGTTTTTGTATGATTTTATTGGAATTAATTTTAGAAGAAATTTACATTACCAGTACCTAGTACACAGATCAATATTAACATGTGCATATAGATACTTAGCTACACATAAACATGGTTAAACATAAGTATAAATTTTAATCTCTTTTTTTGGTAAAACATACTGGTCATTTAGCTCCTTTTCCCCCCGATATAGAACTAATTGACAGCATAGTTTAAAAAAAATGCAAACTCACAAGTGATAAGAAAATGGCAGAAGAAAATGTCCAATTTTTGAAAAACAGACTACAGACAGGTATTTAGCAAGTCTGAGAAAACTAAATTCTATGCTAACAATGGGGATAGGAGAATAATGCAGTTGAGCTCTCACATCTCCAGAAGGTTCATATTGCCATCTTCAAGTACCTCTGGAAGTAGAGATGAAATCAGACACAGGTGGGTGAACGTCTTTGAGAAGCAGTTGTGGCCCTTCTGTCTCCTCCTAGTGCTGGCCTAGAACTAGAGGATGAAGCAGAGAGTAGGAGGGCTTCTATTGTGAATACAGTCTAATGGAGAATGTCCCTGACTTGGGACAGATTGGCCTTTTTGCTCAAGAGCAGTGGCAACCAGATGCTTTCCCTCCTCACAGGAACTGATAAGAGCCTTCCCTGGGTAGTAAGACCAGCATAAGAAAGTACACCCAAAGATTTGAGTTGCAGAGACTGCATTGCAGTTGCTGGACCAGCCACCACTCAAAGAAAACCACTGTTGTGAACTCTCACTTACCCACAGAGCTGTGCTTAGCACCTCACTTTTAAATAAAAGAATACAACATAGTCACTATACATTTGAGAAAAGTGGCTGATAAGAAAGACAAATGGAAGAAAGCACTTGTGAGAACAGAAACAGTCTATAGAGCAAGACTAAGACTTGAAATTCTAGTTAATGTCTTCAGAGAAATAAAAATAGACATTGCAACCATAAACAAATGTAGAAAGCTGTAAAAGAAATATTCAAGAACAAAACGTCTTTGAATATAAAAAAATAACAAAATTAAAACCTTAATTGAAGGTAACAGTTGTGTAACTTTCCCAGAAAATATATTTGAAGAGAAATAATAAAGAAAATTAGGTAATAGCCTAGAAGGTGCCACATGATAATAATCACAGTTCTAGAAAGAAAATGAGTAGGATGAGGAAATTGACAAAGAAATTACTAAAGACAATATTGCAGGGCTGGGAGATACATGAGTTTCTTAAATTGAAAGGATCCACCAAGGCTTACCTCTGGGGATAAACATAGATGCAAATCAAAGAGAAAATGGAAACTTCAGAGCACAGGGAGCACTGTTCCTACCAGCTTCCAAAGAGAAAAAAAAAATAGATTGCTTATAAAGAGTCAAGAATTCCAATGGCAGCCTGGAGGCCAGAATACACTGAACCTGTTCCTTTGAAACAAAAAATGTATGCTTAGAATGGATGAAGGAAGTGAATGAAATTATCACACACATTCAAGGTTTCACAGTTCTTTCATGCATCCTTTCACAAGAGCTACTGAGGAATGTATTTCTCCAAAGCAAAGTAAGAGTATAAACCAAGAAAGTGAAGATATGAGACCCAAGAATCAGCCAAAACTAGGGGCAAAGCCAAGGAAAGCCCCAGCAGATGGTGAAGGGGCTTCCCAGAACTGAGGTGGGCTGTAGGCAGCTTTGCTTTTGAAGTTAGACTTCAAGAAGTAGGTGGCTATTCTATTGGAATATTGCTGGAGATTTCTGTAGCAAATAGTGAGTTTATAATTGAATAAGCCTTAAGGATGTGAAAAATGAAGCAAGTTAAACTCCATGAGAAACAAAAATGTTGTGCTGGTAAAAAAAAAAAAAAAAAGGTAAAAAGAAATCCTAGTAGACTTCATGGCTCAAGTCATGAAGAACTTCTGAGTCTTTAATGCAAACTCTAATGGAAATCTAATTTAACTCCATGGGAGGGAAAGCTTGAGGGAACCAGAAAGGGACAGCGTAGTGGATGGAGCACAGAGGACAGGGAAAGTTTTCTGTGTGTGCCTTTTTGTATTCCTTTGATTAACCATAGGAATGATTTTCCTAAAGCAGAGAGGTTTTTAATAAGAATTATTTTGCTATTTATCACAGACTTTCAACAAATGATTTTCATTAAAAAATGTGCTTTCTTCCTCTCTTTTTCTTCTTCAGAAATTAAAACACAGAGCACGGGGTTGTTCACCTGATATCAGACAAATAGACCTTGATGTCAACCGCACATTTAGGGACCATATTATGTTTAGAGACAGATACGGTGTTAAGTAAGTAAAGTTTCATATAATGAAATGTAAATAGCATTTATAAATCTTATCAGCGTTTTTATTAAGTAAAAGTATGAGTGTAAAGAATGTCCTTTGAGGACTATAATTTTGATTTAGATATTAGTAATCTAAGCTCTTGCAAATCATTTCAGTCCATTTCGCATGAAACTTAAGATCTAATTGAACTGAAAGATTTTGACTGACAGAGATGCTACATAATAGTGGCAAAGAATCATGATTTAAAATTCTTAAAACTATAATAACACTTATTAAAACATATATAGTTGGGAGTATATATACTCAGGGATCAAAGGTTAGCCTGGGCTGTATAGTGAGTTCCAGATCAGCCTCAGATACATAGGAAGATTGTCTCAAAGATTGTTTGTATTATTTGGAAAAGTTGTAGTATTTGGCAATACCGGGGTAAATTTATACAATAAACTTGACCCCATGCATAAATGAAACTAAAAATATTGGAAGTACATTTGGGCATATCATCACATGACAATTTGGTATGGAAGGTACAGTTTTATGGGCTTACTCATAATCCAACCAATGAAACAAACCAGTGGCTTTTCTGCTTTTCACCTGGCAAGTTCAAAATCCGTGGAGCAGGCTCTCAGAAAAGATAAACTAGAACTCTTAGTATGGGTTAAAGCTTCTGTCCCAAGGTGAGCTTTTCTTCAGGGAAGCCAGATTGAATAAGGGTAAAGTTTCTTCTTAAATGCAACATACTATAGATTTTAATCACATTTATAAAATATACAACAACTAGACCAGTGTTTGAATAATGGGGTATTGTAGCCTAGTCAGACTGATACACAATGCCTACCATCACAGTCTACCTTTAACCACTTGATACTCCCACAGATCTCTTCAATCCATCCTTAATTTCCAACAAGACAGTAAGAAAGTCATACTGCTAAGATGATACAGATGTTCTGCTTAGAAATAAAAACATGCTAATCCTTTTTCTACAAGTAGATTCCAAGTCCTTGGATGATAGTGACACTTCTGCTTTAATATCATCCCTAAGTACTGGGATGAGAGAAAAAAGAAATTGTTAATATATGTATGAACATACCATAATAAGGAAGAAATACTTTTAACAGTTATAATCCTTTCTATAGCTTGCCATTTGGCCATAGCTGATATTTACAACTATCTTCTGCTGTCTTCTCCATGTGCCCTTTGCCCCTCAGAAAGTGTTAACTAGTTGAGGTCTTTTATTTGGTAGAATGACCTAGACCTTGATTAGTGAAAACTCTGGGGTTATATTTACAGTCTTGCCTGAATTGGGTTGTTACAGTTTTCCATTGACCATAATTACTCTGCCTTATGTGTACTGTGTAGTAGTAACCCATTTTCTCCATAGTAACCAGAATCATTCACCCTAACCAGCATAGTCCCCCTTTGCCTATTGAAGCATAAGAAATCTGGAAAAGAGTGATTGGGTGGCATTTTCAGTTTCTAATTAAAAAAAAAGATCACATTATATCTCCTAATAAGTACATTCTTACCTTTGTAACTAAGATCTCTGCATCACCAGAGGCTAACGTTGCTGAGACAGGAAGCAAAAAATTTACTAAGGAATCATTAGGAATAATGAGTACAGCCACTCTCTTTTCCATCCTGGGTGTCTTGGATCCCTGAATTTTGGGTATGGGAAAAGCATAGCTCACATCCTCCATCTCACTGCCCCCAGCCTACCAGTAGATGGTGCTATATTGAAGGCTCAGTTGAGACTTCAAAAGGCCATTCCACTGTTGTATGAAGTGAGATTTCATATAAGTTGGCTCGTTGAAAGAGAGTGATATACTTAAGAAATTTGGGGGTCCTTTGTGGTTTTACTGTAAGGTCTTTTTATCAAAACAAATGTTACATAGTCCCAAATACTTTATAATTTGAGCTTGGGATAATTTATGTATTAATGTAATAATTTTATCTGGATTTGTTTTCGGTCAATTAAAAAAATACTTAGATGGTTGTATAAGAAGGTTATATCACCTTTTTAAAGCTTATAATTAATGTAATTTTTTGTTTCTCTAGGCAACAATCCTTATTCCATGTTCTTGCTGCATATTCTATTTATAATACGGTAAGTTCTTTGAGGGGTCTTTGGAACAACTGAAGCTTCTTTTTGACACTCCCTACCTAACAAGGCCCTTCTACACATTTCTTCACCTCAGGAGCAGATGGTCCCTACAGTCTCTGAGCTCTGTGGATCTTTTCACAGCTCCTACACTAACCCTGAGATCTTAGAGCAGAGCTGATTTGAAAGTAGAGAAACCTAGTGATCATAGTGTGCCAGTGAACCTCAGTTTTTCCTTCTCCCTCAAGATTGTTTTGTTACATTTTGTGGCATTTATTTTTAAACATAAGATTGAATGGGCAGAATGGGACAGGAAGTTGTTGCTTGTCAACTTTATCACTTCCAGGAATTGCCTTTTAGTATCACATTCTATTTATTAGTGAGGCCCAGCAGAAGTAGACTATCCTAAATGCTTGAAAAATAGTCATACTATTCTTTGTTTGTTTCAGAGGGTACAGATTTTTATTTCTTCCAATGTAACTATGAATATTTGAGGTTCTCTAAGAATACTATTCTTAGAGCATTTACTGTTCTGAGAAGAGAAGATAATTTAGAGAAAGAATGTGGGTAGTAAGTATATACTTGTTGATTAGATTCTAAGGAAAACACCTTTGAACCTTGGGCTAACTTCTATCATAGCTAAAGCCTTCAGAGTAACAACAAGAGTAGAAACTCACTCAAACTAGGGAAAGTTTAAAAAAGGGATTCATTTATTATTTCTCACAGAAATGAAGCAATAGCTGGGCTTTTTGGAAATTTCAGATACAAAACAGGCAAGATTCATTAAAAAGGATAGCTATACTTTCTCTCTTCAGCTCTGAGGCTCTGAGGTCATGTAGTATTTCCAATTATTTCTGTAAACTATTTATTCCACTGTTCTGTCCCCAGTAATTTTCTTTGCTGAGTTGCTAGTTACACCAGGCTAACAGATCATACATAGACTGGATGTGACCATACTCTTCAAGTGCATATAACTCTCTGTGATGATGATCTTTGTGGCTTTTTCAGATTTCTTAAATTAGTCTGACTTACCAGTACACCCAGATATCAGATGTCATCTGGTCATCTGGTTCCTGTGACATAAACATGAATTCTTAGGACAGATATAAATAGGGACTGTAATAGGGTGGGAGTTTTCCAAGAGGGAGCATAAACTAGATGGACAGCTTTAAAAAATATTTTTAAGGGTCCAGAAATACAGAAGAAACAAGATAGCAAATGGAATTGTATGAGGAGAGAATTTGTCAGCATCTGAATAAGGAAGGAACTGTTAATCATCATACATGGAATGAAATAAATACAAGAAGTTTTTAAAGAAAGTATAATGGTATCAAACAAAACACCTTTTTTTCAGTTTGGTGTGCCCTTTTTTAATTTAAATTCTGTTATAAAAGTGATATACAGACGGGTTAGAATTACATAAGTCAAGTAATGAGTATATTTCTTTTTGACCAGTGTCACCCCTCCCTTGTTTTCTCCTAGTTAGAAAACACTTTTTGAAAATGTAGATTCAACTGGGCTACGGTGGTTCACACCTGTAATCCTAGCTACTCAGGAGGCTGAGATCTGAGTATTGCAGTTGGAACCAGTTTGGGTAGGAAAGCCAGTGTTACACTTTATCTCCTGTTAACCACCAAAAAGCTGGAAAGAGAGCTGTGGCTCAGTGGTAGAGCACTATCCTTGAGCAAAAAAACCTCAGTGATAGCACCTCAGTTCTGAGTTCAAGCCCCAGGGTCAGTCCCCCCAAAAAAATTCAGATTTAGTGGGGGATGTATTCTTGAGCATAGTTTTATTATATGTGGCATAGTGCTATAAAGATTGTAACATTTGTCTCCATAATTATCTATTGAGAAATATAAGTAGTCATTTCCTGATGCTTCATAGATCAACTTTCTCTATGTGCTTTTACCTGCAATTTGACGTTAAGCCCTCCAATATTTGTTGTCTTATTTGCTCTTTAGGAAGTTGGGTACTGTCAGGGGATGAGCCAGATCACAGCTTTACTCCTCATGTATATGAACGAGGAAGACGCCTTCTGGGCCCTGGTCAAACTCTTTTCAGGCCCTAAACATGCCATGCATGGTAAGAAAATCCCATGTCTTATCATAAACCATAAAGAAGAGAGGGGGCCAAAGACAAGTGAAAACAAAATCAAGAGATGTTTGGTAGAATAAATACAATAAGTATGATGTCTCAGAGCTTACTTGGTTAATACTTATTACTAATTTCTTCCTTCATTTTTCTTTATTATAGTTTTCTGAACTTTGCTATTCTCATTGATTTTTGTCTTTTCTCTAATGGGTATTGTTGACATTTCAAATTTATTTTCTTATTTTTCCCCAGTCACAAAAGAAACTTATCCCTAGATTTAGAGGGATTTAGGAAAAGAAATAAAAGCTAGCTTTTGATTAAAAACAAAAAAAAGAAAACCTTTCAGACAGCCATGCACTTATCATTTCAGTGAAATGTTATCTTTGGCTGATTGTTAGGTATAACTTCTTGTCCAAGAATATTAACTGAGAAATGGCACTTAGTGTATAAAGGTAAGGTGGTACATACTAACAAAGTAGTTTTATAATTCAAGTATGGCTTTTAGTTCTTTCAGCCATTAGTTTTGTTTTCATTTTAAATCAAAGTCTGATAACATGTTGTGGGTTACTCAATATTTAAGTTACTATTAATATTACTTGACATTTTAAAACAGGCATAATTTTTTTAAGTTTACATACTATTCTTTAATACCTTTTCCTTTAGTTTGCTAAGATATACATTAAACCTTATTTCAAAGAGTTTCCATTGTAACTTCTTTTGGAAATAAAAGTGGCATTTGTCTGTATAATGCAAAATTATTTACCTAGTGTCATCTATGTAAGACCATTTTAACGCTAGTTTTACTCCAAGAATGGATCATCTTAAAAATGGCATTTGTCCATATAATGCAAAATTGTTTTCCTAGTGCCATCTATGTAAGACCATTTTAACACTAGTTTTATTTCAAGACTGGATCATCTTAAGTTAACTTTGAGAATTTTATGCTTTATGTGGTAGAAAATCTGCCACATACAATGTTATTTTCATAATTATTAAAATTAAGATCTTCCATAGTCTATTATATATTCAGTCTGATGATCTAACCAGGTGGCTTTTGTGAGTATATTGTGTATAAAGGATGACTAATTTTGTGTGTGTATGTTTGCTTGTTTGTCACTATCTCTCTTAGTGTTCTTTCTAGTTATTTTAACAATTACTGTGTGCATAATAACAGTTTCTTGGCACTTTGCATTCCATAAATGGACTTCAGAAGAGAGACATATTATTATACTGAGTTTTCATCCAATAGGCAGTATCATTTACAAAAGCATCTTGAAGTCTGTATCAGTCTTTATTTTGCCTTCCTGTGTGATATTATTGCTGATCTCTTTTGGAGTACAATTGAATGTTACAATTTCAATGATATATAATTATGTGGAAGACTGCCTAATTTTAGAAAACAATCATTTCTTTTAAAGCTGTTTCCTAGCTTAGATTCAGCAATTATTGTCACCAGTTTAATCTATAAAGCAATACTAATTCTACTGTGCTGACATTTGTACTTGTAGTGCAGTATAGATCATTATTTTGGGTGAATTTGTTCTTAAGAGACTTGTATTTCTATGTCTGCCTATGAGATTTTATAACTAAAGGCTGTCTCTGATCTTTGAATTGCCCATCAGAAAGTGATATCCATTCTGAATCTATGGAATCAGAGCTAGGACTGGAAAAGATGAGCCTGGAATATCAGTGAACAGTGAAGCAATGTGAGGTATCTTAGTATTTTTGAGCTAGTTATTACTGAAGTGCATTGACTTTTTCAAAAGTCAGACTTTCCTTAAAATTTTTCCAATTCTCATTCCTATCAAATTGACCATAAAAGTGGCCATAAAGAGATATAGATTGTTTTAAAGGAAAAACATTTCACTGGAAAATACTGCTGTGTGAGGAAAAATATCTCTTATCTGGAAATTTTTACACATACTTTCAAAAACTGAGAAGTAGTTAAGGTTCTGCCTGGTGGATTATAATATTTCACAGTCATGTGTTCCCTGACATCTTGAAGGAACATAGAGTCAGTTGTTAGAAATAAATGTTCTGTAGGAGGCAGGGGATTGGCTCTTGGCTCAAATAAGTCAGGGAAACAAAGTTAAAGCAAAATAAGGTTATTATATCTAGAGATAAGGCTCTAAAATAAGCTGATTTGTACATCATGAATAGCCAACAAAAGTATGCATCACTTACATTTTTCCTGGATTCTTTAAAAATAAAAACCAAAAACAGACCATCTGGTAATAGATTTCAGTGTTGCATAGAAACTAGACTGGAAAATAGTATGTGGAGAATAAAGTCCATTGAGTATATGTCCTTTTAAATGGATTACATCAATATCTGAAAGGAAACTTATGAATAAAAATCAATGTAAAGTTCAATGAGTTCAGTACACAAACTAATACTAACCATTTGTAATTAGTGAACTCCTAAAATCTTACAGTTTATATTGTATAAGCCATTAGGACACAATATAATTTTTAACATAATATTGATCATATAGTGCCTGCATATTTTAGTTGATGTTAAATAGAGTGTATAGAAAAGATTAAAAAGTGATTTAAAAAAACGTTAGAGGCAAGGTAATAGTGAAATTTTTAGAGGGAGCTCGAAAGGTAATAACACATGTATGGAATATATTAACACTAAAACAAAATGATAGTCAAGATTAGAACAATATTAAAAAACTTAGTCATTTTGGATATGGCTCAATACTTTTGTTTTAAAAAATATTACCTCAGCGAGGCACCTGTGGCTCACGCCTGTAATCCTAGCTACTCAGGAAGCTGAGATCTGAGGATCATGCTTCAAAGCCAGCCTGGGCAGCCAAATCCGTGAGACTCTTATCTCCAGTTAACCACCAGAAAACCCGGACATGGCACTGTGACTCAAGTGGTCGAGCACTCATCTTCAGCTGAAGAGCTCAGGGACCATGCCCAGGATGGGAGTTCAAGCCTCATGACTGACAAAATAATAATAATAATAATTTTTAAAATGACTTCAATAAATGGATTGATTTCCTTTTTTCTTACCATTTTAGTTTTCCTCTTAATTTAGTAATATTCTATCATCTTTAATAACTTTATCAAATTTTAGGTAATGTTTAAATATACTACTAACTAAGGCTTTATCCAAATTTACATAAAATTATTTCCTTAGTGGGGAGGGAAATGTTTTAGTAACTAGTGGTATTTCTTTTCATTTTTGACAATTACAAATAAAATATGTGACATTTTAAAATTGAGGTCTTTTGTTGGTATTATTTTTGAAGTATTGTTTTTATGTTTGTATTCTAGGATTTTTTGTCCAAGGTTTTCCTAAACTCTTGAGATTTCAAGAACATCATGAAAAAATACTGAATAAATTTCTGTCCAAACTTAAGCAACACTTGGTAGGTAGATGTGACACTGACTTACACCCATAGACACCAGAATAAAGCTATAATAACTTAATTCAGTCTTTGATCCCAATTGCATTATTAATTTATGATGTCATCCACTTAACTTTTACTATGTAGTTATAATTCCCAGTGTTTGAAGACATTAGGTTTTTAAATTTTAATACTGATAGTCTATCAGAGTACTAATTCAGATTCAGATTACCTCTATGAATATTAAAAGTAAGGCCTTTACAGATGTGTTATTTCTCAGTTATTTCGGAGGTTTGCAAAATTGTATAAAAAGCATTTCTCAAACTCATTGCTTATGAAATGTATATATGCTTTACTATAAAATAATGAAACTATAAAAAGAGTTTACTATAAATATATTAATGAAAGTCTAAATGTATAATCCTATCATGAAAAATCTATTCTTGGAGTTATTTTGAGAAGTAAAATTTTGGGAGAAAAAGAATTGAAAAAATGAAAAAGATTTATAGTGAGATGATGGCTGTTTTTTTATTTTGGCAGCTACCTCCCATAACCTTTGTACCTTTGAGTATTATGTTATCATATTTCATTGCTATAATTTTGTTGCAGAAATTGTGAGGTCTTTATTTTTTCAGGATTCTCAAGAAATCTACACAAGTTTTTACACAATGAAATGGTTTTTTCAGTGTTTCCTTGATCGTGTAAGTATTTATTTGCAAAACTCAGTCATAAAATTCTAAATCCAAGGTGAAGGAAAGCTGCTTGGCCTTACTTGAGTTTTGTTTTGCTCTTCATTGCAGACTCCTTTTACACTGAACCTCAGAATATGGGATATCTACATCTTTGAAGGAGAACGAGTCCTAACTGCTATGTCTTACACAATCTTAAAATTACACAGAAGTAAGAAATGGTTTAATTACAAAGACTTCATAAAAACTGAAGTCTATTTCAACTCTGATGTCTCAGTCCCTACTCTACTTCAAATTCATTGTCTTCCATTACGAGTTGTTTAAAGAAATTTGGAAACCAATGGAGAAATCATCTTCAGTTGGTTCTTTCTCATGACTAGATGACTCATTGTAAAAGCCTTTGCTTCGTTTCTCCTATATTACTTCATTTTCACACTTTCAGAATGGAATATAGTTTGGTGGTATCTCTAATATTGTTCGTAAATGTTGGTTTCCACTGGGACTTTTTTCATCAGTCTGAATCTTAGGTTTATAATAGGAAAACAGAAAAAGCAAGGAAAACAGGCCTGTTAGTTAAGGGGGCTAGAGAAAACATTTCTACTACTGTTTCCTCCTTCTAGAAAACCAGTTGTAGAAGGGGAGTTTATAGATCTGTCTTTCTGCTTGAATACGTCACGGCTTCTGGGCAAGCATAGGCAGTATATAGAGTTGCATAAATAAATCAAGGTTTGCTATGTTTTTTAGTTTTTAAAAAGGTACTTTTAGGGCTCTGTAAATTTGATTTATCATACCTTACTTAAGAATCAAGAAACATCCCACATCCACAAATCAGCCAACGACAAATGCTGGAGGGGATGTGGAGAAAGAGGAACCCTATTACACTGCTGGTGGGAATGTACACTTATACAACCA